AAAAAAAAAAAAAAAAAAAAAAAAAAAAAAAAAAAAGCTAGCTGTGAAACTTTTCAGCACCATTTATGAATTCTTCATCCCATGGGGCGATGACGATGGATAATAATTTTGGTACTGGTACTGTGGATACACAGGCATGGGAACTGTCTGTGTGCTCGGATATTTCGGGGTATTCACAACAACATATTCTGGGGGATACGGAGGGATGTTAATGTTTGGATTTGGCACCGTGGAATTATTCATCATGTTCAGTGGATTGCTGCTGTTAACGCCGTAGTTGACGGTTGGGGGTATATATGGCGTTAAGGGCATGTTCATGTGTGAATCTTGCGCATGCAAATTTGGCAACTGCGGAGTCTGCACATGCACGTTTGGTACTTGTGGAGATTGTACATGCAAATTTGTACCATGCGGATTTCCCGCTGTAAACAAATTCATGTTTTTATTTGGAGAATAATTACTATCCATACTGGATACAGGGATGTTATAATAGTATGCACCAGTTCCACTGGGAGGAATTGAATAATTCGCGTAGTGCCCTCTGACATAGGGGGTATAATATGGAGGGTGGTTATCTACAAATGGTCCATTAACTGTTGGGTGGACAACAGGTATCACAGGGACATTTACCAGAATGCCTGACACGTTCGGCTGTACTGGTATGTTTCTTGGGAAATGATTTCCCTCCTTGTATATGTGCACAGGTGCATGCGCTGGAGGTCCTCCGAAAACGTTTTTGTAGCTATACTGCTTGTTGTTTCTGAAATGGATGGGGCTCTTTACGCAGTTCTCCATTTTGGAGTTCTTCAAGGTGTTGTTCATAAGGGAGTCGAAGTTTTTCTTCGGCGCAAATGTTCGCTGAGGGGAAGGGGGGGCGTTATGCGGAAGCAAAATAGACACATAGGTATAGGTATTAACATGGACACGCACGTACAAATTATGTCTATACTGCGAGAGTGCACTTGTTCGCTGCATCGTTGTTTCACATGCACAGGGGTACAAAAAAAAAAAAACATTAGAAGTGCTTTCTACGGGCACGCTGTGTCATATTGCAGTACAGTCGGAAAGGGGTGGAACTCCTTCTGGTACTTCTTATATGATGGGTACTTGTGGTGGTGGTTGACATTGTTATGAAACTTGTTCACCAGCATGTCCAAATTTTGCTGCAAGTAAAAGGGGGAGAGTGACATATAAACGAGGTGAAAAAAGAATATATATATATATATGTCCAAATTAGCCAATACTACAATGGCGCCATGTATTTGGTAAACACGGCACGGATCCGAGTAGCCCCATGAGGTTCAATTAACAGATTTCAAATTGACCCCCCAAATGGATTCAACAATTGGAGGAGGATTCATTTCATGCACACATGTGCTAAAGGGCCATTGTCTTACATATACAGGTCTCGTTCCGACATTTTTTCGCATATACACATCTGACGTAGGGTACATCTGTGTTGGCGTGTTGGGTAGTTGGGCGACCATGGGGCGGTACTCTGCGTTGGGTGATGATACAAAAGAGGGGCAAAAAAAAAAAGTGATTTAGAAATACTCAACTGGGGGAGGTACGCACCCTATATCTGTCTGCTTATACGCACAAGAAAACTACTGCCCGCAAATGTATTTCCCTCTTTACGCGGACATTTGCGTAGTCGCTGTTGTTATGTATACTCTCTTCAGTCGTACCCAAGTTGTGGCCCATCATACCATGCTTCATATTAAATTGCTTAGCATAATTAAAATCATGTAGATCATTCATATTGCTAACGCTGTTCAGGTTACTCATGTTGCTCAAGCTACTCTGGTTGTTAAAATTGTTCAGGTTACTACAGTTGTTAAAGTTTAAAACATAGGCATCGTATGGGCGCAGGCTCGAGTTGCTCAAATTTACAGTGTTGTCCTGTACTCTCGCGTTTTCGTTTTGGGGAGCTATATTCTCATCTGCGTATAAAGGGCAAGGGGGGAAACAAAAAGAGACACAATTAGGATGGCATTATTACGCACGTATCACTTAGTCGGCTCTACGGTGTGCAAAATATTCTACCTGTCTCGTCGACGTTGTCATTGTTTATGTTATCTGCAAGGGGGCGGTAAAAAAAAAAAAAAAGATGTATAATTAGTATAACACGTGTGTATATATGGAGACCACCGTAGCGCTTCTAATGGGACGCTTCACCATTCGGCTAACGGCTATTGCCACTGCCACTACCACGATAGAATCCCCCGCGGAGACCTCACCTGTAATGTTTGACTCAGTTGTCTGCAGCTCTGATGGCGGGTTGTCCATCTCCAGCTGGTCCAGGTTTCCTTCGTTCTTCGATTCCTGCGTGTGTGTACTCATTTTGCTAAAAATTGCGAAAAAAAAAGAAAACATTTACTCATGTGATATTTGTCTGCTGTAACCCAGTGGATACAAATGCAGGAAGGCAAATCTTTCATAAATATGTCTTCCACCAAGATACCAAACGGGGTGTAAATGCATATATGTACATATCAGCATTTGTATGCATAATTTTTTAATGTGTTCAATTTTAAAAAATCGCTTTTTTTTTTTTTTATTATTACTTGGCTAATTTTTCATTAAACTCCTTTGCTGCTGTTATAAATTCTTGTTTCTCCGTTGATTTGTCCTTTTTGTTGACAATTTTATTATTTGCTTTATTCTTGAACATGATCCATTCCGTTCGGGTTTTTTCATCAAGTCTTGGCAAAGCTGGTTCCAAATTTAGGGCATTGATTCCCTGTAGGGGAGGGAGGATTAACAGGTAGGTGCACTGTTAGATACCTTCATATAGTACAGTCAGGGGAACGTCAGGGGGGATGCATTCGTTTGGGTATGTACTCAGGTGGCTAGTTGCCACAAAAAGGGGAAAGGTATCATGTACACATAATTGTACATACAGCAAAGGCGCTATAAACAAAACGAGCAACTGATGTGCACAATTTGAACTCATCTTTTTTGCCTCTGAACACTTACAATACACTCTGAGCTTTTTCCTTCTTCCTTCTTTGATGAATCATTATTTTTCTCGCTGCTTTCAACGTCTTCCCCACTTGCCGATACAGTGAAATTTATTTTTTTCTGCTTGTTGGCTTCAAATAAAAAAGGGAAAGAGGGAAATGTTGCGTTTGTTGTTGGACAGGGGAGACAAAAAATGGCCAAAAGGAGGAAAAATAAATGGTAGACGATATGAACAGGTGATCAACAATAATATGTAAATGGCGGCGCCAGCTGGAGCAGACGCTAACAATGAGAGTATGACGGAGGTGTATGGCGAATTCACTCACTTGGATATTTTTTCTCGTTGTCCATTTTGACTGATCGGATTTTCTCCTTCAAGTCCCTGAGGGCGAACTGGTTAAACCTACTATGTGGTTGGCTGCTTTTTCCTTCCTCCCTTTTGCCTTTGAAAAAATTTCCGAACTTATCTTTATTTTGTCTAACGGCTCCAAATAAATCTTCTTCGTCCAATTCTTTATTGTCCCTTTCTGCATCCTCGGGGTCGAGGTGCATTCCTCTGTTTTCTAACTCCTTGGCAATTTTATCTGCGTGCATTTTTACATGCTGTGGAATTTTGTTCATGTCTAAATTTGTGGTGTACAATTCTTCTTTATAGGTTGTTGTGACCCCATACAACGTCCTGTTGTGTTCGAATTGATCCCATGGTTCCTTCATGTTATCATCTAACGTTAATTTATTTTCATCGTAAAATGGACCTTCACATACCCACCTCTTCAACTCTCTATTGGCACTATTAAAATTATATTTTTTTTTTTTTTCCGAAATATCTGTATCAATTTGAAATCGCCCTTTTATATGTTGTACCCCATCTGGGTCTTTCAATTCTAGGTTCATATTTTTCCCAACAATAATGTTATACATATTTTCCGGAATGATCATTGCTTTGTTTATTGGGCCGCTAACTCTCTCCTTCTTAGGCTGAACCCTAGCATAATTTAAGGAAATATCACCTTGTTTTTGTTCTCCTTTATTTGCATAATTATATGCGTGAAATAATCCTTTAACTTCGTTTCCATCCTTCATATATACGTTTACCTCGTTCCCTACGAGGCAACACATCACGTAGGCCAGCCTCTCTTGGTTGACGCTCCTGTGCGCGTCTGACGATTTGCCCTGTCCTGCTTTCTTCATTGTGTGCTTACTCTCGCAGGGCAAGCGGCGTGGGGGGTAAATTCATTCTTTCGCTGGAGGGCGACGGAACAGGTCGATAAGCGGTTCGTTTAGCGGTTCGTATGGCGGTCTTCCGGTAGGTCTCCCAGCCGGCCTTCTAGTCAGTGCGCAAAACGGATAAGTCGGTACTTCATTCGGTGTGCTCGCGGGTCAGGTGTCCCTCGACAGTGCCGGTTCCCCAGCTTATTCGACAGTTGTTTTAATTTTGTATTTTTTTCGGAAAGGAGGGGTGCTGCTTTCCTCCCGGTTGGCTCACGCGGCGGCGCCCTCAGAGCAGGGGCAGTGGTGCATATGTAGGTCTGTGTGGGGATCCCACATACGGGCACATATTATGTGTATAAACAAACACAAGGGTATACTCATGTATTCCTGCACTCTTTTTTGCCACTTGACTCTCGTCCTCTCCAACGAATCCACGCTACTACAAACAAATCTCACGAATGCTTCTCCACCTGGATGCAATAATACATTTTAATTACTCTTCATATATGTATTGGGTAGGCACAATTGGAAGTAAAAAAAAATTGAAAATAAAACACCAAACAAAAAAAAAAAAAAAACAGAAAAGAAAAAAAACAAACAAATATAGGCAGGTATGGAAAACACAATAACTCGGTATATTTATGTAACAAAAAAAAAAAAAGGAAAAAAACCAAATCTGTGGGATAAAAAAAAAAAAAAAATATTTAAGGTGTGTGAGAACGGTATGCTTTTGCGTGACGGCAAAGGAACGAAATGGTGATAGGCATCTACCAAACATGCTGGTAAATTCCACTGGTCAGCGTACTACTGCACGTTCTGATGGATGACCGTTGAGCTCACAGATACGCAAGCCAACAATGGTGCTAAACGCCTTAAGGCCGGAACGCCCCACACGTGACGTTAACGCCAAAATTGTACGCGTGCAGAGGGCACGATGAGGAACTGCACCCCCTTTGGGCTCACAAGGGAGGGTGTACAATACGTAAGTACATTAAAAAAATAAATCAGCTGGCGACGTTGATTGCACGGAAATAAAACTCACGCAAGCCTGCTTCTAATGTGTTATTTTTTTTTTTTTGCAACACGTTTGTAAATCTACTTTGATTTGTCGTGTGCCCTCAACGTGATATTCTTTTTCTATATCAATGCTTACACAAAGGGGGAAAAAAAAAAATGAATTGTTCACATGTGCTGACTCTCTGACGCAGTGATGCTTTCGCACCTTGATTCCGATCCACCCATTTACAAATGTCCAAATGGTTCTGTGTTACGTAAGGGAGTTACTTTCGTGTGTAGCGGCAAGCACGACTGCTTTGCGCAACATCTACCTTCTTGTCCCTATCGTAAACAGGGAAAAGTAAGGACAAAAAAGAAAAATAGGTCAACGAGAAAAAGTTGTGAAGAGCTATAGGTGATAGATTTTTTTTTTTTTTTTCTGTGCAAATGCTGATTCGCAAAAGATTTCAACTTGGCGGCATTCGCCAAAAGGTGTGCAAAAATTTTATCCTGCACGCGTTTTGAACAAAAAGCGTCTGGTGTTAGGTCAATTACAGCACTGGCGAGACGCAAGAAAATATATTTAAGATGTACACGTATGCACTAACGTACCTACGCGTGCGCATGTGTGGCTGCCCGTCCGAGGTGCTTCCCCCGAGTAGGTTCCATCAATTTGTTGAGGGGCGTGTGTATAGGAAGGGGCCAAACATGAGAAGCGAGTGTTCAAATGGGCGAAGACTTGTTTTGTTCTTTACAATTTAAGGCCCACCAAGAATTGTTCACAAAACTTTACACGGAAGTTTTGCTACTCTCGTGATAAAAAAATGTCTCAAAGGAAGCAGCTCAGAAAATTGTTACACATGTCCATGTGTACATAGACGCCTACATGTGCACAAGCTTGTGTGTGTGTATACATTGCACTCATGTGGATTTGAATGAGTGCGAAAAGACTGCTTTCAGGAAGAATTTCGCATGCAAAGAACAAGTCTTATGCGACGGTTTACACACATTAACGTCTATGTAGAGTGTTAAATATGGTATTGTAGGGCTTGTTAAAATTGGGTATATGTTCAAATGGGGGTATGATAATATGTCTGAAGGGGTGAACAATTCATTTGCCTTCGCGTCGCTTCTTTTTGCTGTGGTATTCTTTTCAGACGAGCGAAAGGCAAAAAAAAAAAAAAAATTCGCATCGTCTTGGCATTCCCCCTTTTATAATGTAAAAAAAAAAAAAAAAA